CCTCCCCATCCCTCCATCTCTTCTCCCTCCCACCAAATATATCTCTATATAGAGGTTAAAAAGTCCAAAGTGTTGTTATCTTCAAATCTAAATGATCAGATCCATCCTTGTAGGAACTCCAACCCATGTAATCTCGAAGAAAATAAACAAAGGAAGTGTCAGGACGTTTTCTTACAGAGGGATATTAAAAACAATTCCATTGAACCTGAATTTTTAAGGTAACTCTTTCCCCCCTAAAATACTAAAATTGTGTCGAAATTGCATTTTGTGAGTTCCATCATTTTATTTCTTGGTGGGAGAATACACAGAGAAGTAAATCAGGATCAGTTTAAACTAAATTAAACTGATAAACATCTCCGCTACTAATTCCAGCCAAATACACAAAATACACTAATCTATCAATTCTAGATCTTTATCTATTGATGATATATATAGATAAAGATCTATATTTCTAATGTAATTTAGAATCTATTAATTAACTGATGTATCCCTTATCTATCTAAATGAAGCTGGCATCCTAGACATTAGTTCTGTTTATAAACAAGATTAATGACATAAAACATTTTCATCAATCAAGTTTAAATTATCATAAAGAAGTTCCAGGGCCCCCTGTCTCAAATGAATTTACAACTAAGAAATATCAGGGCCCACATATCGATGTCTGGTAAATATAATAGAAAAAACCTGAGGGCACAAAGCACATTAAATTCCAAGAGAAAATTATAATTTTAATTTTAATTTTAAAATATAATAATTAATGCATTTATGTCTATATGTTAGTTATATATATATATATATANCTACAGTCTACAGTCTACAGTCTACAGTCTACAGTCTACAGTCTACAGTCTACAGTCTACAGTCTACAGTCTACAGTCTACAGTCTACAGTCTACAGTCTACAGTCTACAGTCTACAGTCTACAGTCTACAGTCTACAGTCTACAGTCTACAGTCTACAGTCTACAGTCTACAGTCTACAGTCTACAGTCTACAGTCTACAGTCTACAGTCTACAGTCTACAGTCTACAGTCTACAGTCTACAGTCTACAGTCTACAGTCTACAGTCTACAGTCTACAGTATACAGTCTAAAGTCTACAGTCTACAGTCTACAGTCTACAGTCTACAGTCTACAGTCTACAGTCTACAGTCTACAGTCTACAGTCTACAGTCTACAGTATACAGTCTACAGTCTACAGTCTACAGTCTACAGTCTACAGTATACAGTCTACAGTCTACAGTCTACAGTCTACAGTATACAGTATACAGTATACAGTTTACAGTTTACAGTCTACAGTCTACAGTCTACAGTCTACAGTCTACAGTATACAGTATTGATTAAGATTGATTAAATATTTCTTGGTGTTAAAACCTTGCTGATGAATGGACAATGGAGCAGTTGACATAAAACATTCTTTCTTTTAATATTTGAAGCATGTCAATTAACCCCAAACCAAAAATGCGGCATTCTTTGTAAATTTTAAATTATATTTCTCCTTAAATCCTTAATCTGCCTCAAACTACAAATTTCAATGTATAAAAATTAAGGTTAAACGAAAAGTCGTGCTGAAGGTAAAGAAGAAGTGAAAAATACAAATTATTATCGACATTTAGTATAACTATAGCTTGCAGCGGATAGAACATAATAGGTTTTACAGTATTTAGGAATATTTTTTTTTTATTCTATTCGGCCTTAAATATTTCAATGGCCTGTATATGAAAGACTAAAACCACGGCGACAACTTGTTTCATAAATTGTTTGTTTTTTACTTCTTTGTATAAATAAAGTACAGAGCTGGCAGAGGTTTTGATAATGTTTAAATGGTTTAGAACTGAATGCATTAGATCCCCTCTGCACCCTCAACATATATGCACTAAAATCTAAGTGTTGTACACGGTTTAATCCATGACGAAATATTAAAAGATAAACCCAGCTTTGAAGCTTTTTTACAGGTTTCATTAACCTGTCTTGTTAGTAGTTTATGTATGGGATATGCCTAGTAGTTAGTTAAGCACTTTATGGGTGTTTCCCGTTTAAGGATCACAAAACAATATTGAATACTCTTATTACACGTGCAGTTTAAGTATATACTTACACCATTAGCGTGTAGTTAATACTATATTACAGTCATCAGTACTCTGTATATTCATAACATTTCAACTCAACATTTAATATTATTTCCAAACCGAGTTAATTGTTTAGCTAAATAACTCTATCCTTGGTGTTGTTTATATGGGAACCTGGAACTTCTACCCTTCCCCTCCCCTCCCTTCTCCCCCTCCTCCTACCTACTGCAATTCTAATATTCCTTCTTGGCTCAGGGCACTTTGTCATGACTATTAAACTAGATTTCATCCCAGGTTTTAGCCGGACACTTTACTCTCCGTCCTACTTTCAATAACATTCTTGTCTGAGCCATTTACTCTCCATCCTTTCTTTGTATCAACCCTTTATTCTTTATCCTATCCTTGTATCAACCCTTTACTCTCCATCCTTTCCTTGTATCAACCCTTTACTCTCCATCCTTTCTTTGTATCAACCCTTTATTCTTTATCCTATCCTTGTATCAACCCTTTACTCTCCATCCTTTCCTTGTATCAACCCTTTACTCTCCATCCTATCCTTGAATAAACCCTTTAATCTTTGTATCAACCCTTTACTCTCCATCCTTTCCTTGTATCTGCTGTTTACTCTCTATCCTATCCCTGTATCTGTATATACTCTTTAATCTCCATCCTATCCTTGTATCTACCATTTACTCTCCATCCTACCCAAGGTACTAATGCAAGGAAAGTAAATTGCGGTCGCGTATACTCTGCGTACATATTGAAACCAGTTCTCTTTGGGCGGAATTTGTAAACAAGAATAGATGCATCAGTGTTCGCATCCGAGAATGATTAAACCATTTAATTTTGATAATTTTGAAAATTCACATAATATTTTCCTACGACCAGAATATTTCATAGATTATTTTGTGATAATGGATTCCATGTCAGGCTGTGACATCCGTCTTGTGTTTACTTTTCCGCCCAAAGACAGTACACTTCAGCACAAAAAATGCGTACACCTCTGAAATAACTTGTATCTACCCTTTACTCTCCATCCTACCCTTGTATGTACCCTTTACTCTCTATCCTATCCTTGTATCAATCCGTAATCTCCATCCTACCCTTGTTTCTACACTTTACTCGCCATCCTACCCTTGTATCTACCCTTTACTCTCCATCCTTCCCTTGTATCTACCTTTTACTCTCCATCCTACCATTGTATCTACCATTTCCTCTCCATCCTACCCTTGTATCTACCCTTTACTCTCCAGCATATCCTTGTATCTACCCTTTACTCTCCAGCATATCCACGTATCTACCCTTTACTCTCCATCCTACCATTGTATCTACCTTTTACTAACCATCTTACCATTGTATCTACCATTTCCTCTCCAGCATATCCTTGTATCTACCCTTTACTCTCCATCATATCCTTGTATCTACCCTTTACTCTCCAGCATATCTACGTATTTACCCTTTACTCTCCAGCATATCCTTGTATCTACCCTGTACTCTCCATCCTATCCTTGTATCTACCCTTTACTCCGCAGCGTATCCTTGTATCTACCCTGTACTCTCAATCCTATCTTTGTATGTACCCTGTACTCTCTATCCTATCCTTGTATGTACCCTTTACTCTCCAAGCATATCCTTGTATCTACCCTGTACTCTCCATCCTATCCTTGTATGTACCCTTTACTCTCCATCCTATCCTTGTATCTACCCTTTACTCTCCAGCATATCCTTGTATCTACCCTTTCCTCTCCAGCATAACCTTGTATCTACCCTTTACTCTCCAGCATATCCTTGTATCTACCCTTTACTCCCCAGCGTATCCTTGTATATACCCTGTACTCTCCATCCTATCTTTGTATGTACCCTGTACTCTCCATCCTATCCTTGTATGTACCCTTTACTCTCCAGCATATCCCTGTATCTACCCTTTCCTCTCCAGCATATCCTTGTATCTACCCTTTACTCTCCATCCTACACTTGTATCTACCCTTTACTCACCAGCATATCCTTGTATCTACCCTTTACTCTCCATCATATCTATGTATCTACCTTTTACTCTCCAGCATATCCTTGTATACACCCTTTACTCTCCAGCATATCCTTGAATCTACCCTTTATTCTCCATCCTACCATTGTATCTACCCTTTACTCTCCAGCATATCCTTGTATCTACCCTTTATTCTCCAGTATATACTTGTATCTACCCTGTACTCTCCATCCTACCATTGTATCCACCCTTTACTTTTCATCCTATCCTAGTATCTACCCCTTATTCTCCAGCATATCCTTGTATTTACCCGTTACTCTCCATCCTACCCTTGTATATTCCATTTACATTTCATCCTACCCTAGTATCTACCCTTTACTCTCCAGCATATCCTTGTATCTACCCTTTATTCTCCAGCATATACTTGTATCTACCCTTTACTTTCCATCCTACCCTATATCCCTATATTCTCTGTGGGTCCCATCACAATTGGAAATGTACAGTGATCTCCGTATATGTATATGTATGTTCTCCCTATCTGAAGATCAAGAGTGTCAAGTTTGGTTTCATCAATTTATCATCCTATGTGCTTTCATGCTGTTCATATATCAACAAGAGCACGGAAATATTTCTCAAGGAAAATCATGTAAAGTATATGAGTATAAGTAACATTAATCAGTTATTATATATATAAGTATTAATAAGCAGTATATAATATGAATAAGTACTTGGTATTTACTGTAAATGAAGCTTTGAATATGAAAAATGTGTAAATGTTAATAATGAATTACTGAAATAGGCAAAATTGACGAGATTATCCAGTAAATTCCACGGATAGCAGTAGCACGCGACACTGTAATAAATATATGTATATGTGAATTGATATATCAACCTGTAGATACAGCACAACATGAGATTAAGGTGATTCTGTTTCTTTAGAATGAAACTAATATCGTATACTAATCTTTATTCGAACTATTTGAACATTAAGTTATTTATTGAGAACTTCCATCATCCCTGTCAGCATTGTTCAAGGGTTCCAGACAAAAAACTAAATCAATATAGCATTATTAATATAAAATATATATATATTTTTTTTAATGTCTAATTATGATATTACCAAGATCATCTACAACTGAATCCAGAACTCTGTTATTGTGTTCAACCTGCTCCTGATGCTTCTCCCTGAGATAGTATGAGAAGTAGAAGAACGGGAAGAGTATTCCCTCCTCCTCTCTCCTGGACTCCCTGGATATACCGGAGTGGTTGTATGATGATATACCTAGAGCTAGTATTCCTGCAAAACTGATGAATAAGAAGAAGAACTCAAGGTAGTGCGGATATCCTGCAATGAATAAGGTTTATAGCTTCCTAATTCTTCATGTCCTAATTAGTATTATTTCCTAACATCATTCAATACAAATATGTTAATTCAAATCCTGGTTTAATTAGAAGGATATATGGGGGGGGGGGGGTTCATTTGTTAGAACCTTGACCTATATCTTCATTAAAGAACTAAACTGATGATGATTATATGGATAATAGCTTAAAATGAGGTGATTCTTAAGTTAGTTGTATTAAAGCGTTATCTATAAGGATTGTACAATGCGTATAGTTCCCAATTGATATTTCAAATTCTGTGAGATCATTTACCCTAATTTTGATATATCAAAGGTTTACACTATCTGGTTGAAAAGATATAGGAATTAGAAAATCGGAGTTTGTGGCAAAAACTCAAATCCTTCATGAGCCATATAGTCTTAAAAAATGCTAATTCCAATAGATATATTTAGAAACAGAAGAAATGATAACTTGCTACAGTACAAATATATCTTACCATTGACAAATAATAATCCGAATATATGCCACCATCCTCTGATATATGATGTTGTAGACAGAAGGGACAAAAACAGGAGTAAAGTAAAGAAAATCTCCTAAATATAAGATTAGTAAGGCAAGATGTACTTTATACAAAAGGTGGCATGAACTTACTATTTTTTCAGAAGCAAAAGAGTGGTTTCGCTATTTTACTTCAATCTTTGTTAAATAAATTCACGAGAACCAATTGATAAAATCATCTTTGTAAATTGATTACTTCATTATTTAAATGAAGTGTGATTTTTAAGTATTTTAACTGATGCTCTCAATTGTTATAATGTCCAAGGCTACTAATGTTTTTCCTTATATGGTTTTGAATTTTAGAAAAAACTAATTAGCCACCTCTTTGTTTAGTTATAGCTAAGATGGTGTGAACTAGGATATTTCTATTTATTGAAAGAATAGACAATTTATTTGTTTAAAGTACATAATGCTTGTATACGTTATACCTTGAGAAACCAAGAAGTACTCTCAGCATGAAACCTAAAGCTTAGAAATATCTTCCACTTGTTCAAGGAGTGCAGTTGCATTGTAATATCAAGTGATCCTACATTTAAATAGGACCATGCCTCGCAAAGATACCCTTTTCATTTTTATCTGATCAAAAACATTTTTTTGACAAATATCTAACTCTCAAAATTTTCCTCCTCAGTTTCTGTAACTGCAAATCCGCAAGTCACTGTTTAAGAGAAATCACAATTGAAAAGAACTAATTCAACCAAATCATGAATATCTCATTCATTCTTGATTAGACAACGATTTATAAGGTACCTTTGTGAATCAGACATGCTACTATAAAAACAAAGGGTCATTTGAAATGATGTCTACAATCCCTTTAATTTGCTTAATCTTTTGAAGATCTAGGCTAGAACTTTTGTAAATTCTTATCAAAAGATCCTTGAACCACCCTCCCCCCTCACCCCGTCAACAATCCTTTTATTTTTTGTTTATAAATGAAAGATTAGGTTTACTAATATGTAATTAATAATAATGTCATCATAATTCATTCATCTAATTAAACTGTCTATTAGATATAGGAAACCACTGTATCAAAATTATTTGCTAAGGTTCTGTAAGGTTCTATTTTTGCTCCCTGAGATATTTGAACTGTAGAACGAATATGAGAGCGGAGAGGAGATGAGCCAGGAGAATAGATATCAGATGATTGTACAGGATGACAGAGAATGGAAAACCCAGAACATCAAACAAATGATCCAGGATCGTCCAAGTTGCGTAGGTACTAAACACAACAAAGAATTTTAGTATAAAATCATTAATTTTACTTATAATGATCTCTTTTTGGGGGAAAGAGGGGGATATATTTAAAGAGTACAATAACAATAGCTTAACATGAATTTTTTAAGTTTGTAGAAAAAATACGTATTTTAATGATAATTCGTCTTATGCATAGAATGTTCTTCAATTATCATAAATGATCGTCCCGCGGTTGGTTAAAATTAAATTGATTATTTTATCATAAAAATTACTCACCAGACCGCTGCAATTATTTCCAAAAGTGTTGTGACCAACCCGTCCAGGCATCTGTTTTTCCAAGAATCTGTTCTTTTACTTTCAAGAAAGGAATCGATTTGAACATAATTCCTAGTGGAGTCTAGAAAAACGCCTAAGGGCGGTGTTACTGCAGCAGTTTTAAAACAACCACAGCTTTTGAGCACAACAAAGGCGAGGGAAAGAGTTATGACCGAGGTTTCCCAAATATCCACAGAGTACAACAGATCAAAAGATCCTTTCCAGTAGAGCAAGGTTGTAAAAAATCTTAATACTGAAAACAATCTTGAGACTAAAAAGTATACATCTTTACCGGTCCTTGCAGCAAAATCTTCTAGGTTTTGGCTGAATACCACAAGCAAAATACTACTGACAGTACCGATCACCAAGCAAATGATTGCCTGGATTATGTATTCCGGAGAACTTTCAAATGTATCACTTTCGTTTGTAGAGTTACCAGAGCTTAGCAAGCTACGAGCGATCCAGAAGAAAAATGTGTCGTAAAGTTGCCACCCAGCACACCACACAGAAACCGTGAACGGTCCAACAATCAGCTGTATGAAGAAAAAATCTATTATTAGCCATGTCCAGAATCGTTTTATCTTGATGGGTTTTCCAAGTTGGCGCGCCATGTCAATCTCGATTAATTCTCGCAATGACGATTTTGTATTTCCATTTTCCATAGCGTATCTCTCTCATTTTCCAGAAGTTTGACGTCTCAGTATTCAATATTCATCAATGGCATTTTGAAATACAGTAATTTTGCGGATTTTCACAGCTAAATTAGCGCATTATCTTCCCCTATTAGTGAACTGTTTATAGAGTTTACGAGGCTAAATGAACAATTATTATTTTGCCAAAAGGGAAAATAAACGTTGCCAACCATTTTGGTTCGGTTAAGCAGGCCTGCACAGTATTCATGGTCACTTGCACTTTTCAAGACGTAATTTTGCTCCAACCTAAGAGAAAAGCCCGGCCGCTAAAGAAACTATTAAACAATAAAATCTCTACAAAAGTACGTTAATAGGGTTTGCATTGTACTTCGCCCAGTGCCGTGCATGGCAGGGAATTAGAGGAGAAATAAAGATGTATAAAATACTTTTTACAACAATTAAAGAAACCCCCGACCTAAAGGAATTGAGTCTTTGTCACAAACCCTGATTTTCTAATACCAATATCTTTGGTACCCAATGTCGTAGACCTTAGCTATTTCAAACTATGAATTCTTTTACATTGAATAATCTTATTTTGAAATTTCAAAGCTTCATACCACCCGGTTGCAAATATTTATGGATTTGAATATTTGAGTTTGTAGCAAAGACTCAATTCCTTTATTCCAAACTTGATTAGAAATCGGTAAATACACAATAGACGAGGAGTCCAAAAAAACATAAAAACTAGGCTATGAGACAGACATTTATTCGGTATCATTCTGAAACAAAAACAAATACCATGTTTCGGGATTCAAAATGTGGTGTAAGAGAGAGAGTGTAAGAACTTATTTACCCCCCCCCCCCCCATTTAAAGGTAAATTTTTCATATTTTCTATTTCATAACTGTTTTAATATTGAAGTACATTAGAAATAAAATTGTTACTTTCAAACGTATATGTAATAATGCGCATTGTACAAATTACATTTTAGCTAGTAATTTTTTTAAAATTTAATCTATGCATTTATGACACAAGAAGAATTATTTTAGAGGAAGGATTAGGATTTAAACTGCATAAAAAGATAATCCACTAAATAATAATATTTCTCAGCTATGGAAACTCAGGGAGCAATTCTTCTCTTTTCCATATCTTATAAAGTGTCAAACATTAAAAACAACCCGAACATTAAGCTAATCAGACAATTGGGATTGAAGACCCGGTTTATATTTTTGTCGCCTCTTCTCCGCCCTTGCATAAACCCATTACGACCTCTGTGGGGTGCTAGGTGGAAGTGCAAGGGAGCTTTGATCTGTCTACTATACAGTATACAGTATAGACTATAATGTATACTTGGATAAAATGCTGGATTCTCACAGCACACCTGGACTAACAGAACACTTTAACACGTGCTGATGCATTAGATATTCATAATGGAACAAATTTGATGTTAATAATATTTGCATGAAATTTATAACTCTTGCTTATGCTTAGTTAATTATGGAATATAAACTAAAGCGAGCTAGGTTAGATCTGTATGCTATGTAAGTTAATTGAGCTAAAGCTAAATTTGTTGGGCAGATGAGTTGTGATAACTATGTAAGCCATGTTAACTATGTTACCTAAGTTAGTTAGCTAAGAATGTGAGCTATGTTTTGCTATTTTATTTTATATCGTGAAGGTACGTCATTACGTAGGCAGAGCTGAGATTTAATTTTCACCTAAATAACTTTGACATAAATCTCATGGATTCAAAGATTCCAATATGATGCATTACTCAAATATTTTATGCCCTAACGTAGCCGAATAAAAAATACCTTCAAGGATTGGACACTCTGAAAACATAATAATGAAAAAATGAGGATTTCAAGGTGGTTCGGTCGAAAAAAATGATGATAATGTGGCTCAGACGAGAAATTGTTTTGGCTGGCCTACCTTCCCTACTCCGCAAGGCCCAGGATTTTACTATCAGTGATATTAAGAAAAATTAATTAGTGTAAATAAAGCGAAACGGTATTTTATGTTTATTTTCATGCCCTATCAAATTCCTACATACATTTATTACAACAATTAGCCTGAGATGGCTGACTGATTACAGCGCTAGTTAGATAATCATTTCTTAATTGACCAAATTTGGTTAAAACGTTAAACGAAAATACCGTAAATGTGTACTATACGCTGTCAACAAAACGTCTTACCGTTTTAATACAATAGTAATAATAATAATACAATACAATAATGTAAATAAAAATGTTTATAAATACGATATATAGACTAGAAGTGAAAAGTTACATATAAATTAGTTCACTTCAGACTACTTATAACAGGGAGAGACCGGCTAGGTAGCGTATGTGAAACGGGAATGCAATATTATAAAAAAAATAGGATTCACTTGATAACAATGAGACGTTTTTACGGTGTATAGTTTCTAAGTAAGGGCGTGTATTTGTTGGTAAGGTTTAAACAGAAAAGATGGTTTTTAAAATTATCTCATAACCCAGACAAAATAATCCTATAGTAAAATACGGGTTTTAAATAATTGTAAAACTCATTGTTCCACAGTGTTGAAAACTAGATTTTCCTGAAGATATCTCTGTTGTAATTGAATCTTTAAATTGATTTTTTAACATACCAAATGATAATTAAAATAATCATTTATGTACAAAGTAATTTGTAGTTAAAGTCGTTTCTAGACCTTATTTAAGGGAACACAATGGAGTTATTATTTTAAATCTTCTCATTCTTTCCCTTCATTCAGGGATAATATTCTTTACAATGTTAGGAGTGTCAAATTTGAATTAATGCTTTGAGTTTGGGCATCTAGATTTGTTTAATTTTAAATAATACTTAAATGAAAATATATATTTTATGTATACAATAAACACCCCTGAATTCTTAAATGCAAAGTGTAGCACACACAGAACAGGAAGAAAATGTAAAAAGTAGAAAATGTAAAAAGTAGAACATGTAGATCTTGTAGAACATGTAGATCATAAAAAACATGAAAAACATGCAGAACATGAAGAACATGAAGAACATGAAGAAGATAAAAAATGTAGATAACAAGTGAAAGTTTTGTCAAAATACAAAAATAAACAAATAATAGGGTGTATGGATGAATACAGGGTGTATGAATGAATACAGGGTGTATGGATGAATTCAGTGTGTATGGATGAATGCAGTGTGTATGGATGAATACAGTGTGTAAGGATGAATACAGGGTGTATGGATGAATACAGCGTGTAAGGATGAATACAGGGTGTATGGATGAATACAGGGTGTATGGATGAATACAGGGTGTATGAATGAATACAGGGTGTATGGATGAATTCAGTCTGTATGGATGAATTCAGTGTGTATGGATGAATATAGTGTGTATGAATGAATGCAGGGTGTATAGATGAATACAGCGTGTAAGGATGAATACAGGGTCTATAGATGAATACAGGGTGAATGGATGAATACAATGTGTATGGATGAATACAGGGTGTAAGAATGAATACAGGGTCTATGGATGAATACAGGGTGTATGAATGAATACAGGATTTATGGATGAATACAGAGTGTATGGATGAATACAGGGTGTATGAATGAATACAGGGTGTATGGATGAATACAGGGTGTAAGGATGAATACAGGGTGTATGAATGTATACAGGGTGTATGGATGAATACAGGGTGTATGAATGAATACAGGGTGTATGGATGAATACAGAGTCTAAGGATGAATACAAGGTGAATGGATTAATACAGGGTTTATGGATGAATACAGGGTTTATGAATGAATACAGGGTTTATGAATGAATACAGTATGTATGAATAAATACAGGGTGTATGGATGAGACTAAATGAAAGAGCAGTATCCCAGCTGGAAAAATGCGTAAAACTCGTGTTTACAACCAGAAGATGGGTTTCAGAAGGTTTTAGGGCTGGATAAGGGTTTGAAACGCTGAGACGAGAGAGGAGAAGGAGTAAGGAAGGAGTTGAAAATGGGAGGGGAAAAACCGTGAATTTATATGTATGAATATCTATCAGGATAAAACCATTTTATTTATAATTGATGAAATAATTATTTTAATTATCTTAATTTTGAATGAAAGGTATCTACAGGAGATGGATATTTTATGGTTTAGTATTCTACCTTTAAAGTTCAGTCACTGAAAGTCTTACTAAGTGATTTTAATCAATGTTAAGATTAACTTTGATGGGATTAGTCGGTTTACATTTCATAGTTTAATCAGGCATATTTAGGCATTGAAATCCTATTTAGACTTAAGCAATGCTTATTACATTCCAGCCATGCAGAAATTATTTTTCGTCAAGCCAATACAATGTAATCTGCAATATATATTTCGACAAAAATAAAGATATATTTGCTTGAAAATGACAATATTACCGAGAGACAGAAACCAGTAAGAAAATTGAAAAAGAAACTGAGTCTTTGCCACATACTCAAATTTTCAAATTTCGTTACCTTTTTAACACAATGTCGCGCGTAGACCTTTGATATTTCAAACTTTTTTTTTTTAATTTAATAGAATTCATCGTTTGAAATGTCAACATTGGGTTACAAATATAAAGGGATTAGTAAGTCAGAGATTGTGGCAAAAACGTTATCTCTTTTTGAAATAGAAAAACGAAGATATCTTGCTCATTGCTACTCAGATAAAGGTTTTTAGAGTCACATGAATTTAAGTTTGCTTGAAAATAGACTCTGTTTTGTCTATGCCTGTGATTATGAAAACTTTAAATCGTAGAATATGAGCCTACTAGCTCCAAGAATATGAGCCTACTAGCTCCAAAAATATGAGCCTACTAGCTCCAAGAATATGAGCCTACTAGCTCCAAGCTTAAAACTGAAGATAAAAAGTAACGAAACTTGGTATCGTTTCAAATCGCATTTTGCTGATAATCTTTGTTAATGATATTCCAAATTTTAAAAAATCGAAAATTCAAAGGTGACAACTTTTGAATTATGGAAATGATTTAAATCAGGCATTTTCTCATCTCTCGTTGGCCAGACCTCCAAGCTTTTATCCAAGAAGAGATGAGTTTTATCTTCTGCTCATATTTTGATCCGTCTTAACCAGATTTAAATTATTTGGAAATCGTTTTCGGTAGTTTTGAAAAAGCTTCTGCTAAAACACGGTTTTGAAAAATTGTTGTTTTTTAAAAAGTTTACAGTCCAGACTGGGGTAAACAATGTCTGTTATTTTCCCACACTGAGAAAAAATTAAAATTTCAAATTATGAAAAATATGGAAACGTGTTCATTTGAAAGGTTATATTTGTAATTATACCACGTGTGATAAAATTTTGTTATGCTTTAAGAAAAAAAAAACTATTTATTAAGTTAGCTATTTAAAAAAATTATAATATATTTACTCAATTTAACATAAATGCAATGTTAAGAACTAGTTGAAAATTAAACAAAATTATTTTTGAATTATAAATTAATTTTAATTTCATTGTTTTGTAATTTCATTTTAATGAAATAAATAGTTAAAGATAAATATGTCTTGCAAAGCGGTTCAGATCGGAACAAATTCAGACCCTCCCCCCCTCCCGGCCACCCCCTTGTTTACGATCTAATTACTCTGTGCTCTCCGGATGACCCTATGTGAAAAACAATGAACCTGCCACAAAAACTTTGTTTTCAATCACAATGAGATTTCAATCTTCAGCGGAGGAAAATTTAAACCTAGAAAATTGGTCTTATTACTATTTGACATGATCTTTTGCTTGCTGGGAACTGAATTGTTGGGGGGGAGGGGGCTGGGCAATTTAAATGGAACGGTCGTAAAGCTTGTATTCTAAGTCAACCTGATGCATGATTTATAGTTTTAAACATGTGAAACCATGATTCAAGTTTACACCGACACCCAGAGAATTTAAAACAAAGAGTGAATAGGTGCATAAATGCAGTTCCAATTAGAAGCGTATCTGTCGTAACTATGTTTTGCAAAGCATGTCCCAAAAAACCCTCTTTTTGTACAGAATATAATTCAATAAATAAATTTATAAAATGGGGTGAAATATTAATATTTTCGTTATTTATCTATAGTAAACACAAGACGAGTTCACAATCGTCATATTAGTCTCAAATTTCTTGGAACTCCTTGGAGATAGATGAATTATTAAGAACAATTAAAAGAATATTTCAATTAAATAAATTGAATGAATTAAATATAATTGAATTTAAGATTGGATGGTTAGTTCCCAACTGATTAATGTCGAAAACTGTGATTCTTAACAGATAAAATACTTAATTATTCGTCTGCTACAGAAACCTTGCATTCGTCTGCTACAGAAATCTTTCATTCGTCTGCCACAAGATCCTTGCATTCATCTGCTACAAGATCCTTGCATTCGTCTGCTACAGAAACCTTGCATTCGTCTTCTACAAGATTCTTGCATTAATCTGCTACAAGATCCTTACATTCGTCTGCTACAAGATCCTTGCATTCGTCTTCTACAAGATCCTTGCATTCATCTGCTACAAGATCCTTACATTCGTCTGCTACAAGATCTTGCATTCGTCTTCTACAAGAGCCTTGCATTCGTCTGCAACATAAACCTTACATTCGTCTGCTACAATATCCTTGCATTCGTCTGCTGCAAGACCCTTGCATTCGTCTGCTACAAGATCCTTGCATACGTCTGCTACAATAACCTTGCATTCGTCTGCTACAAGAGCCTTGCATTCGTCTGCTTCAAGATGCTTACATTCGTCTGCTACAATAACCTTGCATTCGTCTGCTACATGAACCGTGCGTACGTCTGCCACAAGACCCTTTCATTTGTCTGCTACAATATCCTTGCATTCGTCTGCTACAAGAAACCTTATATTGATCAGCCACAAAGTCCTTGTATTTGTCTGCCAACATATAAAACTCATACTACAGCAAACTCTGGACTTTTCTGTAACAAGAACCTAAACCTAAACCTAAACCTAAACCTAAACCTAAACCTAAACCTAAACCTAAACATAAACATAAACCTTAACCTAAAACTGAAGACCCAGGCTGCATGCAATTAAACTATTTGTATAAAAGTAAAGGTCAAATTCAAATAGGTAAAAGTCCTCTGGCCCTTTATGCAAATATTACGAGTCATAAAAACTAAAGAAACAAGTTGATATGCCAGTTTTTAAACAGGGAGGCTGGTTTTCAGGTCTATACTCTGTGTATAGTGTTATTTAAGGAGGGTTCCCATGACAAATTATTAAGTAAAATCTAGCATGGGTGATTTTAATTTTACGGTGATTATGTTTTAAAAAGAAAAATATTGACCACCGACTCACCACGCCTTGTATTAAATTTAGCACAAATTGTTTAAAAGGTTTTTTAATATAATTATACATTATACGTTTTCGATGCAGAAGGTAGTTTTCTGTGGATTATTTATTTTTCACGGCCAACGCCGGGCAATTTAGCTAGTATACTTTCTATATACATAAAAAACTATCTCTGTTTGTTTGCTGTTTATATGTTTGGTCAGAAATAATTAGTCCTTTGACCGATTTGCCTCAAATTTTTATTGGGAAACTTGGAAATTTCTCAGCTTCGTTCAAAAATTGATTGGATTAACTTTAACAGAGAAAGTTTAGTTTCTAAGGTAGCAACCTAAATTATTAGATAAAGAGCCAGTAAGGATTAGAATGTATTGAACAAGCAGAACAAAATATTTTAAACCTTTACGACATTCTTCAGCTGCTAAGAAAGGGAAACCAATAATCAAAATTGGTAGATACCACATCTATACATAGAGGGAGGGGTGGCTGCTCCCAGGGTTTTGAAGTGCTCCCAGGATTTTGGAGTTTCTCCTATGGTTTTGGAGTAAAATTTATCTGACCTTTAATGAAAAGTCATTTATAAAGGGAACTTTAAAACCAAAAATTGAAAAATTTGCAGAAAAATTCGCAAATTTCAGTCCAAGTAGCCTGTGACGATCATGTAGTTTTGATTAGCCATTTTACTCCAAAACTCTGGGGGCAACTCCAAAATCCTGGGAGCACTCCAAAACCATTGGAGGAGCCACCCCTCCCTCATACATATGATAAAACAAGATATTTATAAAAATGTTCCCTATGGCCGGCCAAACGGCTGGACCGATTGGGCTGTATTTTTTGAAGATACTCGTGGGTAACCTGGGGAGTGTCTTAGGCTAAAAAAAAAATTTGATTATTGTTCAAAATTTGTAATTTTTAAAATTTTTGTTTTAAAAAAAAAATTTCCACAGGAAACGCCGGGCCCTCCTGTAGCTAGTATATATTAAAAGTTAAACGCTAAACGTCTATATTGTTTATTGCTCTCTTTTATTGACAATCTTTTTTAGTTTTAAAATTATTCTTATTCAACAATTTTAGAGATAAAATTTTTTAAATTGTAACTAACCAGGTTTGCTAAGTGAATGCTGATTTTTACTCCTTGCATTCTTGAAATACCATAAGACCAGGCACTACCCATATATTTGATGCATTTTTACCAGCATTCGTTGCACACTGTTATTTTCTGGTCAAATTATAGACAAATACAGTTTCAATTCTCTCACATATTATTTGTTTTAAGTATTATTTTTGACACTGCCTACCTCAGAAACAAGATGGAGAATGAAGGATTGAATTGAACTAATTATTTTTCCAGCAATTAATTTTAATTAGCGTCCATTTCCGATATTTGTTCACCATATATACATTTGGAACAACTATGATTAGGATAACGGACAAAAAGCTTAAAGTTCAAATATTATGGATTTTGACAAGTCCTAGTTTGCTTCGGATTTCAAAATATTTTTTTAATGGAGTGTAACGTATTCCTTCGAGTTACGGTTTCTTCTAAAGACGGGCATTTCGGATATTTGTAATTAAAACATTTTCAGAGATTGCGCCAAATCCCCCCAAAACAGTTTAAAGTTAATATTTTTGAAATGCGTATTTACGGATTGAAAGTGTAATTTGTAAAGTGAAATGTTCGATTTACAACGATACCTTTTTTTAAACTTGTCTGAACATGGACCTTTGTCTGAACATTGAGTACCTTGGAAAACCATTAGCACAAAGTGTACAATGTGCATCGCAACAGTTAATTAATTCTACTTTATAAAAAATTCCTGTCATGATTGTATCTTCTCTTATTAAAATATTTATCCATCCTGATGTTATGTAAAGAAAACAGTTGAGGTAAATTAAATAGAAATTTCCCAAGAGCAAGAAGGCGATGTTTGAAAAATCCGCAATTTTCAATTTGCCTAATTAGAGAATTGTTCGCGGTTCTTGTTTTAAACCAGTAGTATTTTTTACCACCTGACATGGATTTTACATGAACGCAAAAATTCTGGTTTATTTATAATTCTTATGGATTTTTCGCGAATAAAACACTTTTTATCACCTCTTTTATCCTTTTTTCTTTACTGTTAGAAATGCCCACAAACCGTATAATTTTTATATAAATATTTAATTCACGCTTCGCAAATCCGTTCAAATGAAACCGTGAAATGATACAAACTAGAATTCTTTTGATTAGTTTAACCCCCTTCCACATTCAACCATTTATTTCTTTAAAAATATCATGTCAACACTTACTCCCCCCCATTCCATCTCAGACATTTCTGCTATTCAAGGTTTCCTGCGCTTTTTACGCTGGGTTTATTAATATTTGTTGCGTTTAGACGCCGTCCCCTCAACCCTGCTCAGAGACAGTCGGTGTTGCGAACCCAACCAGTGAACATCTCTCGGCACACATACACATACACATTAGTGAACCCAAACTTACAGATCTTGGATTTGGTGATTTTTGTGAACTTTTAGACTTAGAGAATATATTGATAGGTAAGAACAGTGGATTAGATTGATACAATGGAACAATGAAAGTATAATTGAGTAAAAATAGACAATGGCGTTAAAACATGTAATAAAAACCGATAGGAGGACATTAGTCCACACATAAATCAGTTTTAATTTGACACAAACCATGAATTTGTTTTTTACAAAATAAAACAAATCACAATTCTCATTTTTCTTCAGAACAAATAAATGGTTCTGTCTTCGTTTTATTTTTTAAGCATAATTTGTTTTGAAAGAATATTAATTGAACCTTTTTAAAAAGTTTTTCGTAAATGGATCTGTAGACGTAATTTAAAGTTACTCTTCATTTTAAAGTAGGATGTCTGATTCAAAATGCAGGGTTTCCTTAAAAACTCTGAATATGAATGTATGATAAACCATTGTTTTTATTTTAGAAGTTTTTTTTTAAATTGTAGTTTCTCTTTGAAAGTCACTTGCAGAATTCTGCTGTAGGAACAAAGGAGGAATTTTTCATTTAAGAAAGATATCTTCCACATCAGCGAGAAAGAAAAAGGTTTAAAGGGTATCATCGCGAAGGATCGTAACTTAAAATTACAACGACATTTTATTTTCTATTTTCTCATTATTCTGGTTTCTCATTGTTTACAAAGATTTTCACAGATTTTCTAGAATTATTATTGAAAAGACGATATTTGAAGAATTTAAAGAAATCTGCGAATAAATTCAAAGAAGATAAGAAATTCAATATAATAATAAAAACGAAATAATCGATTTTAGCATTGATTTATTGACAAATTCCTATTGAGAAATATGTTCCTAACCATCTAATTAGATTACTGTATAATTTATAATTTTTTTTTCGTTGTCGTTATTTAATAATTAAAAAAAAAACTAATTCTGAAAACGTATCCACCCCCAAAATAGGAGTTTTGAACGTCGAATTTACGCTCAAACTCGGGATTTCCAGATCTTTAAAAAGTTTAATATGTCTCAAATGAATCCGAAAGAAGTTTTCCACAACACTGCATACTCAGTTCAACTACCTTACATAGCCGGTCACTCCCTTTAAAGGGTATCATCGCGAAGGATCGTAACTTAAAATTACAACGAAATGTGTCTATTTAAGAAATTAGTTTTGAAGCAGCAAGAAAAATGGATGAAATTTTTCTGATTCCAGAAAGTGGCAAATTCAGCTAAATCATGTAGTTAAAGTTTACTTTTTAAAATAGTGTTAATTGAAATTACGTTGGCAATTCCTCAGCTTTACATCAATATTTAAGTACAAAAAATATGCGCTTTAAACCCTCTCTTCCTTCGATATATGCACTTTCATTGGTTGCAGAGTTTTAAGATTTTGTTACTTTGATCATGAAGCATTGTTTTCCGATAAAACTATTAGACAAAATATGAGTAAACAAAACTGGGTCTGCTTAACCTAAATAATAGAATTGATTCTGCATAAATCAAAAAGTGATGAAGGGTATAGAAAATGTTCATAAAGAAGAGAATAAAGCATGATCTGATGGACTGATTAACCGATCAGATTCCTGATGGATATCTTGATATCCAACCTATTCAGCTCTTCAACCGATTTTAGCAATTCAAACCTTTTTCATCTTATCCGGTCTTGGTGGGGGTCCTGGTTCACTTCTCAGGGTATACCTTAGAGTAGGTGGAGTTTATAAAGGACAAATAGAAAATATAAGAAGGCTAGGATGGGTTGGGACTTGGTAGAAAAGTATAGACAAGCTGAATAATATAAGAAAGGGGTTTTATATGAGCTTGACACATTTTAAAAAGGATAAAAAATGTTAAATTACACCGAATGTCTATACTCTTTTTTCCTTCCTCCAGGTTCAATTGAAAGCCTGGATGTATACATGTTTGATGTAAACTTTTATTAGATCTCGGGTTTTTGACGTGGATCAAATTTAGATCAACGAAACGAACATTTAAACCTAGAACCAACATGGAAACGGATAACTCGGATTGAAAACATGTAATCTGGTGCAAACTTTGAAAACAAACTTCTCAGCATTCCTTTTATAAAACAGTTAAATGACAAGAACTAAATGTTTATAGTTCCTCGATTTTTGTTATTGTACATTTAATATTTTGATTTTAAAAGGACTGTAAAGTGACATGTCCGATTCACAATGGTTCCCTGATCAAGAAATCAAGATATATTTGAAGTGACTCTCTGGGCATTTCTGCTTCAGAAACATTGGAGAAACCTGTCAGAATTAACCAGTTTTTAAGTTAGAAAACCGACGATATGTTCCACTTTCTTGCAAAAAAAAAATAAAAACAGAGTACTGCTGTGAATTGGACATGTCCCTCTATTTAGATAAAAATACAGGTTTTAAAAACTCTTTTTTGAATCGTAGATTAGGCATGCTGTACATGGATGGACATACATTTAGAATAGATTTGTTTTAAATTATTTATTCACTATTCTATACTGTTGGATAAATCATTTATCCCAGGGGGCTAAACAATTATTTGCATAATTTCTCTCCTACAATTTAATTTGTTCCAAGGGTTTAAAGTGACCGAACTGAATTTAAAACAGATTACGCAAATTCATTTTCTATATTTGGAGATAGAGAATTTATAAGTCAAGCACTATCTCCAGTTTTATATATTTCTAAATGTAAGTTTAGATACAGCACTAAATAAATACATATTGTACTTAAGGATGGAAGTACAGAATTCATAGAACAAGAACTTAATACGTTTTCTGCATTTAAAGATAAAAGTTTAGAACAATATTGTAGAAAGTATAGAAAGTAAACACAGAAAGAAACTGTCCACTCGCCACAATTTTATAATCCAAATATCTTCGTATCTGATAATGTGATGTTTCAAACTTTTATTATTTGATCTAAAAGAATTCATAGTTTAAAGTGTCAGAGGTCTTTATTAGGTTGCAAAGATAGAAGGATTAGAAAAATATAGAAGGAGGTACTAATTGAGAAGTAAGTTGAAAAAAATGTTCGGGAATTGAGACCTATTGTTGTCCTGGTGGCTGAATGTTAATAAAATATAAGATTAGATCCTGTATATTTGTTGGGTGTGATAGGGTGTATTTCCTACCGTAAACCCTTATTTGTTAGGTTTTAGATGTCATTTTACTAAAATACAGAATTAGATTTGGTTCAATTAATTACATGTTTTGCATATTACAGATATCTAGATAGCTATGAAAGTTATTCTAGACTGGATCGACTCTAAAGTGTCGCAACTCCTTGGCCTTTAAATTTACATTTATAAATAATTACTACTTTTTTAGCTCCAACTATATACATTCTTAAATTCGATTTAAAAGGATTAATTGGCCAACTGCTGATTTGTTTTTGAGTGAGAGCATGCACACTTTGGTTTAATGTGAGAGCATGGACACTTTGGTTTAATGTGAGAGCATACACACTATGGTTTAATGTGAGAGCATGCACACTTTGGTTTAATGTAAGAGCATGCACACTTTGGTTTAATGTAAGAGCATGCACACTTTGGTTTAATGTGAGAGCATGCACACTTTGGTTTAATGTGAGAGCATGCACACTTTGGTTTAATGTAAGAGCATGAACACTTTGGTTTAATGTGAGAGCATGCACACTTTGGTTTACTGTGAGAGCATTCATACTTTAGTTTACTATGGAGAGCATGCACACTTTGGTTTACTGTGAGAGCATGCACACTTTGGTTTAATGTGAGAGCATGCACACTTTGGTTTTATGTGAGAGCATGCACACTTTGGTTTAATGTGAGAGCATGCACACTTTGGTTTACTGTGAGAGCATTCATACTTTAGTTTACTGTGGAGAGCATGCACACTTTGGTTTGCTGTGAGAGCATGCACACTTTGGTTTAATGTGAGAGCATGCACACTTTGGTTTAATGTAAGAGCATGCACACTTTGGTTTAATGCGAGAGCATGCACACTTTGGTTTACTGTGAGAGCATTCATACTTTAGTTTACTGTGGAGAGCATGCACACTTTGGTTTGCACACTTTGGTTTAATGTGAGAGCATGCACACTTTGGTTTACTGTGATTCTTAAATGCATAACTCATGATATTCTGAACCATGTTTAGAAAGACTCAGTAAATTGATTTAACCCTTAATTAGAATTATGTCTGCTCAGAATATTTTTTGTTTAAACAAAATAAAATAAAAAAAACTAAATTAGATTATAAACTACTGTTTGATTGAATTGGATTCCGATGTATTTGCGGATTGTATAGAATCCTCATCTATCAATTGACTGTATTGGATTTTGAGGTGTTGGTAAATTAAGTATTGGTGGATTGGATTGGATTTTATAATTGGATTAAATTAAATTGTAAGAAACAAAGAAAAAACAGGATCGGTTTCAATGTACTGGATGGATTGTATTGGATTGGATCCCGAGGTATTGATGGATTGGATTGAATTCCGAGGTATTGATGGATTGGATTGGATCCCGAGGTATTGATGGATTGGATTGGATTCCGAGGTTTGATGGATTGGATTGGATTCCGAGGTATTGATGGATTGGATTGGATCCCGAGGTATTGATGGATTGGATTGGATTCCGAGGTATTGATGGATTCGATGGGATCCCGAGGTATTGCTGAATTCGATTGTATTCCGAGGTATTGCTGGATTGGATTGGATTGTGATAAATAATAGGATTAGTTCTGTTGATGGCTCGGATTGGTTTGGATTGGATTCCGAGGTATTGATGGATTGGATTGGATAGTAAGAAACAAAATTATCAGTTCTGCCTGATGCCTTGGATTGGTTTGGATTCCGAGGTATCGATGGAATGGATTAAATTGTAAGAAGAAGAGTATAGGTTCTGTTTGATGCCTCGGATTGGGTTGGATTAGTAGATGATCAAGTATTGTATAACACTAAGCTTGAGTAGTAATAGGATAAAGACCTGGATTGCAAGATTCTAAACTCTAATCTTCATGTTCATATATATTATATAGTACTAGCTTGCAAATCCAACTATAACTGAAAATTGTACTTTCCCT